ATCCCACTCACATTATCCTGAGCACATCGGGTCGTTCTCCTCCTTCTTTTTTCTCACCCATTAGAGTTTGGAATAGAGACAAACGGACAAAATCACCCCCCCCAGAGCCGCCATTTACCCCCACTCAGAAGAATCTGTCCAGAGCTGTAACAGCCAGAGGAGTGACGTGCACGTGAGAGGACGCCGGGGTAATGAAGCGTCCTGAGGACGTGGATGTGAGCTCTCGGGCGTCGGAGCGACGCTCCGCTGACTCCTCGCTTGGGGGGGGGGTTTTTGACATAAAACTCTCATTCTCCTCAGAGCTGTGTTCACTAAACAGGAAACGGTGTGGGGCTAGAGAAAAAGACCCCCCTCCCCAAAGAACACATTCAGCGACGTGGAAGTGTGCACTCGGCCGAGCAGGAGATAACGAGAGGAAGCCGGGTGCAGACGCACAGCTCCGGGACGTGGACATGGAACCAAATGAAAGGAGGACATATGAACGCTTACTAGCATTAGTGCACGTTAGTTGGTGCACGGCATCACAGAGAAACACTACTGGGAGGAATACAGAGACGACTCCAGCTGCCGAGTCGCATGTTGTGTGACGGCCGACCTGCAGCTCGTGCAGATGCTCCTCAGCGCCCACACGCGTGTCCACTGTCTGTCCAGAGGACACCTGTTCGCTGCTCTCTGGTCTCTGAGCCGCGATGAGGGAAGCAGGTAAACATCTGTGCTGCACATTGTGCTGAGGCAGAGAGAGAAAGGACTGCGGGGGGGTTGAGCGGAGAGACGAAGAATGGGAGAGTCAGGTGGAGCTGAGAGATGGAAGAGACAGGAGGTGTCAGAGAGAGAGAGAGAATAACGAGTGACTCGACGAGCAGAAGAACAACGAGGACTTCACCAGAGTTTAAACCTGTGAACTCAGCGGACTGAAAGGAAGCGTCACGGCTCATCAAGTCTTCTCTGGAGCCCCCCCCCCCAAAGGAGTGTCAGGTCCTGCTCCTTCCTGGAGGCTCATTTAGATGTTCAACGACTCCCTGGTTACCTGCTGGGCCATCTGTAGATACTATTGGGGTTCCCATTCAATCAGAAGTGTAATTAATATGTGATTAGAGCAATTCGGTGCCTTCTTACTCTGAGGAGCTCTTGAACGCCTCCCGAGTGAGCAAAGAAAGAACATTTTCAATGCATTGGTTTTCATTTATAGTAACAGAAGGAATAAGAAATATCAATCCCACCATTTTAACAATATAACCTGGTTATTGTCAGAAGAATGAAGGATGAACGTTGAGACGTCAGCGGCGTTTACTCCGGCTAACGAGAACGCAGCAAGAAAAGGTCAATGTGAGCCCCATTCTCCTCTCCCGCGTTGGGGGAGAAGTGGAGCCGCAGCAGGAGGTCAGGAAAGAGCTGCTCCTCATTCCTAGTGATTTCTCCCGTCGCAGCATTTAGGTCCTATCGTGACTCTTACAGGCTGACGCCCTTCGACTGTAAGGCAACTGTGGAGAGGATGAATGAGCCGCCGCTTTTCCTGCCGCGACACCGATTACCCACATTTAAAAACTAAAAAGGGCCAAGACCTCGGGTGCGGGGCGCCAAGAATCACAGGAGAAAAAGAAAGAAAAGGGGCTTTTATGGCTGAGACTTCCTTGAGGAGGCTTTTACACTGGAGGGGAGCTTTATAAAGAAAGTCATTGTATGAATAAATCAGTCTTTTTAAATATCCACTTTCCTCACCCAAGGGTTGGTTTTTCATGTCGAGAAGGATTTGTCCTCATATGTTGCTTCCATCCGCAAATATGCAATGCATAAGTTCAAGTATGAGATTGTATTTTCATTTGTACAAAGCAATGAGACGATCTTTGTCCAAGTGATTCCTCTACTTCCTCGACTTGAACAGAAAACAGCACCTGCTGGACCACGTTTGGGAGGCCGTAGAAAGCAGCACTCACAGGTATCGCTGGAGTGGAGGAGGAACTTAAGTAGTCAAACGTTGATTAAAACTGTCAATACACGCACACGCGTTCTCATCCTTTAACACCTCCTTTAAAAGCTCTTTATTAAATTCCCCTACTTTATTTACGGGCACGTAGGAGTACTTCCTCAGCGCGTCTCAACTGACGCGGCGGACAATCCCACCGGAGCGAGCAGGTGTGTCCGACGCTTCAGGCCGAGCAGAGAGCCGACTCACATCTCACTGAGGGAATTGTTTAATAAGGAGAGCAGGAAGTCTCATTGTCTTTCAACATGAACACGATGATCTCGAAGCCAAAACCTTCTGTTGCTTTAGCTCAAAACACCTAAAGTCAACTGGAGTAAAGAGTAGACCTCTGTGAATATCTCAGTCAGTGGTATAAATGTATATTTCGGGTGCCAGTGGCGTCGCTAAGGTAGCTAGCTAGCTGGTACACAAGACCTCTGACCTTGAGCTGGCGCGCCGACTCGACGTGGTTGTCGTACACAAGGACGTCGGCGATAAGCCTCTCTCTCGCCGCGGAGAAGGAGGTCGGTCCGTCCACCACGCTCGGCTCGACGATCACCTTCAGCTGGGTGTGAGCACACCTGGTCCCGTCCCACACCTGGAAACATACGTTCAACAGGTATGAACAGCTTCAATGTGACTGCACGCGTTCATAACTACTCGCATTGGCAACTGATCCGTGGATTACTGCAATTTTTTTGTTTCAGTTTTGTTGTTTTTACCCAGATGCCTGGAGCTGAAGACACTCCAGATGTTCCTCCCATCAACCTTTATGCCCTCTACAGGCCGCTCGGCTGACAGTTTGTGGGAATAAGTAACCAGAAGATGAAGTTTGTGAACCAACGACGGATCAATGAAACTTGAAATACTTGTTAAAGACTAAGGAACTGCTGAAGAAAACTATTGTTTATTAATTGTCTTCTTTTCTCACAAAGTAATGAAGGAATCGAACCAATAAGCTACATTTAAACGTAATTAGATTATAGTTACTAGCTGAAGCACAATACTTTGGAAACAAATGTAAAGAAGTGTAAAGTATGTGACAATAAAAAGCAGATATGCTTGACGGATGGGGGCTGTGAGGTATTCCTCACTCTGTGCTACAGCGATGCTCATCTCAGGTAGAAGGAGTCTCCGATGGGCCGTGAGCATCCTGGGGGAGCACCTCCCTGTTGCGTAACACGTAGGAAGCCCCCTCAGAGCAGCTTTGGAAATGAAAGCGAGCCGCCTGGCAGCGGACCGGTGCTCGCTGCCAAAACCCGTTCAAATTTAACTCTTCCATCGGCCTCGCTGGCAGGAAACCAGGCTGCGCCTCTTGTTGTGAGAAACCGGGGGCGGCTGGTGAAACAGCTCGAGGCCGAGACAAAAACACTCGAGACCGAGGAGTCAATCTACTGCGAGACAGACGAGAGCCGACGGCTCCATTATCCCAGAGGGAACACCGGGAACCACTTCAGGCTGAGAATCAGAGCAGGTGCAGGAAAAAACCGTCAGGAAAAAAAGCTTCCTCACAAAAGACATCCAGAGACAGAAACATAAAGAGACAGAGACAGAGACAGAGGGAGGAAATGGAGCTGAAGGTAAAAAGCCTTCCAGCTGAGCGGGAACGAGTTGTTTAAAAGCAGCAAAAAATAAAACTACAAAGAGAAAGTTAAATCTCGGGTGCAGATCTGTAACTGAACTCGTGGAAAATGTGGTTTAATAAATGATTGATCCCGCGCCCCCCCCCTCCATCTGCCTGACTCATTGATCCTCCATGTGACAGAAGCGCTGGTGGGGAGCTGTCGCTCTGAAACACCACACTGTGCCGTTCATCCATTAACCGTGGGCGCTGTCCCTGGTTCTGAAGCAGCAGACTGATTCGTAATCGACGTTCTCCCCCCTGGGGGCACACCGGCCAATCACAGCGCAGCCTGCTCCAGCACCGTTAGCCGGAGATTTACGTTTATAAAAACGTTCTAAAATACTGCCCGGTCCTCCCGCCCCCGGTGCGTCGTGCTTACCCTCAGCAGGGTGCAGGTGGTGTCCATGGGGGCTTTGGCCAGCAGCTGGCAGGTCAAGTCGAAGTAGTCTTTGGGCTGAGCGGCGCACAGGGGGGTCGTGGGGAGGAGGAGGCCCTGGCTGGCGGCCCAGGTCCTCAGCTCCTCCACGGTCCGGCGGTCCTCCTGGTCCAGGTGGAAGGACCTGCTGGAAGTGCGCGGCTCCAGCGGGTCGCCCTCCGCCCCGTCGAACGCCAGCACAGAGAAACGGAAGGTGTTCATCAGCGTCACCGAGTTTTTGAAGTCTGTCACCTGGGAGAGAAATGTGGAAACCCATCTCACTCATCTCTTTCCTCCTCGAGGGACAGCGTGTACTCGACTGTGATCCAGGCGGCACCTTGACGTTGTGCAGGCGCACGATGTCCCCGACTCCGAAGATCTGGGGATGGTCCTCCAGCTTCTTACTGAACACCGTGCAGGCGATCTTCTGGTCGGACTGATCGGTGATCTTCAGGGTGGAGCAGAGGTCTGTGGAAAGGAGCCAAGAGCTTGTGGAACGAAACATAACATTTAAATGTTGTGACACCCACATACCCACACACACACTTGCATGCTTGTGTGTCTTTTGTTTAACATGTGTGTCTGATCTGTATATGATGCCTGAACGGTCCAATAGGAACGTGACGACAGATTCTTCATGCAGCTTGTTCTCTTTCATCCTTCCCTTTACACACACACACACACACACACACACACACACAGACAGACACAGACACAGACACTCAAGAGTGTATTTTAATGACTAATCTGACACGTTTCCATCCAGACAGAAACCTGGTGTGTGAACCAGCTCACAGGGGGAAACGTGTTCATGTATTTTGTCCCTTTTGTTAATCCAAATCACTGTCCTTTACGTCTCTGTCCGTGGTGCTGAAAGGAGCTAAAGGACTTTCGCGTTTAAAATAAATCCGTTCGAGAGTAGAGTTATTAGGAAATGTCACCGGGACTCCTGAGTTGTTTCACTTAATGACATTTCCTAAAATAATACATCATTATATGATGTGTAATAATGGCGAGATTTATTTCCTATCAGTAAAATTACAATTTTTTAATATCTTTCCTGTTTTTCTGAAGAGGATAAAACATTTAGAACTGGACCAGCTGCTATGATCAAACCACACAGGGATCTGTATCTGTTAATACGGATCATTGCCGATCTGATGCGTGAGTTTTATGACATTAGAAGTTATTAATAACAGCAGTCTCATTTGAACTCCTGCATTTTCTCTTGGAAGCAGGTGTAAGAGCAGAATAAAACACATTCCAGAGCGGCGTTGGGTTCTGACCCGTGCCGCGGCTCATGAAGGGCTGTTTGAAGAAGACCACCACTCCGTACACGTTGACCACCGACCCGGCCTTCAGGTCGCCCAGGCGACTGTACTTTGGAGCCTCGGTCATCCTGGAAACCTGGAGGACAAAGCACAGCTGGAGTTAAAAAAATGAAAAAAAGAGGCCGCAGCAGCTTGTGTCAACGCATCGCAGTTGAGACATCGTTTGGTGACCTGACGTTCAACGCAGCCATTTGAATGACTACACGAATTAAACTTAAGAGGCCTGGCGGCGATCTTCAGAGGAGGAAGATGTGACCATGTATTTTTACCAGCATTTATTCTGCAGCGAGGATCAAACTCAAAGACTCAGAATTAAAATCAAGCCTTAAAATTCTGATCGCAGCTTTGGTAAAATATTTAATCTCCTTTCAAACGTTCCTATTCTGTCTGTTAATGTTTTCTGTTCTCGCGCTCACTGTCCCTGTTCTGATCCACACTTGGCTTCATATTTCATTTAAAGCCATCTATGTTACATACATTATGATGATCCTCTCTACATTATTGCCCCCCCCCCCCCCCACACACGCGGCAGGAAGCTGAAGTTTCAGCTAAGCGGCGCCTTCTGACTCTGACCTGAGCGGGGAGGGCGGAGCTCCTCTGGTTGGCCATCGAGGTGCTGGGGTCATCAGGAGCAGGAGGAGGAGGAGGGGACACCTGGGGGACGGAGACAGAGGAGATATATTACAACATTACAGCCCTCCTCGCTTCAATGGGGAGGGGCTTGATAAAACACCTCGTTCTCAGATTAAAGTACCTTCACACACTTGACATCAGATAACAATATGTAGTCTGATCTCCATTCCAGGTGTGAAGGAGCGTCTCTAATGCACCTTGGTGCAGGAAGGACACGGAGAGCCACACACACACACACACACACACAGCGGGGTCCTCACATAAACGCAGGCGGTGTCTCCGGACAGCAGCAGGTTGAAGGGGTGGAGCCCGTCTTTTGTGAACCCGTGGGGGATCTGCCCACAGAGAAGCCCAGAGACCACAACCACGTCCTGCGGGAGCAACGCCAGAGGAAACAACAGGGAGAGAAGTCTGGTCAACAATTGGCGGCATCTCTGGGAGAGAAGAGATGAAGGCCCCCGTCCCGACCTCCCGCGGTGAAACGGGAGATCGTCTTTCTGTTCAGCGAGCCGGCGGCTCAGGAGACAGGAAGCCTTCCCGCGCGGGAAATGGAGGACGGCAGCGTGTTTGAACAATCACGTTACCGCGACAACATGACTTCCCGCCTTCAAAGAGATTGGCCACGCGGGGGGTTTATCCCGGAGGTTATTTGCGGCCCCCGTCCAGTTAAAAAATGAAAACAACGCAGAGACTCTGTAAGACTTTAGTTGAGTCACTGTGAAGATTCTGTCGCTCCGAGGGGCCCGGGGACTAACCAGTATTTACTAATTGAAAGTATTTACAGTTTATATCTTGTATCTCAGTTATTCAGCTTCAGCTTGTGGCTGGAAACAACGACTTTGCAACCAAACTGTGTGAATATGTAGATGTACTTTAACTGACAGCTGTAAACTGTGGTCTAAATTATTCACACAGGAAATTCTGTCACTACAAATCATCAGAAGCTTGACCGAGCTCGGACATAAACACCATGGAAACACCATCGAGATGAATCAAATGAATTAACTTCACTCCACGAAATAACACCACTCGAATCAGCCCGTTCACTTGTTCAAATCACAGGCTTTATGGTGCAGAAAATCACAATCTCAACAAACATGCCGTCCAAGTAGCCGGTAAAAAAGGAGAAAAATAACATTACGAAATCTCATCAGCAGGCCATAAATATTTATATCAAATAAAGTCTTTCAACGCGTTCTTCAGTCAGTCAACAACATTAACATCCCTGAGCTCTTCTCCACCATGATTCACTTTAAAACGTACTAAATCAAGTCATGACGGCTTCGGACGGAAACAAATAAAGAATCAGAGCCGGTTAATCATCTGTGCCAGATGTGTAGACAAAAGAACGGCAGCGTGACGAAGAGACGGCTTACAAAACATTAAAACCCGTTAGGAGGGAAAACAACTATGAAAAGACGTCTGCTTGTTTGTTTTTGTCTCGCATGAAGAATATATGAAGACCATTTTAGATAAAATTCGAAATTCAACCATCACAGCCATCGTATAGACCTGAAACTAGAGATTGAGACCATGAACATGTTCACAATGTTTACTGAGGGAATAAATCAAGAGAGAAGTAGAGTCATTTTCTCATAGACTTCTATGGGACCAGAGGAGTCGCCCCCTGGTGGTCACTACAGAGAATGCAGCTTTAACACCACTCCTCATTGGCTTCACCGCACTTTACTTCCCTAAGTTAGAACCTTTCTTAACATACAGTGACCAATCCATTCTCTGGAGGTTTGATACGATTTCTATTCACTAGAACGTATGTAATAATTTAAAGCTGTGCTTATTTCACACCAAGAAACATCAGTCGAAGAGTTCCCGGGGAAGGCGGAGGAGAAAACAAAGAAACGCAAAAGCTGTGAACGAGATTCAGCAGCCAGACGCCCTCATCCTCATCATCACCATGCCCATCCTCGTCATCATCCTCGTCTCCGCTCACACCTTCACACCACGGCACGTTTGCACACGTTAAATATAGATCTGTGTGATACACGATTCATGTCTCAGCTGCTGTTTGCACTTCTTCAGCATCAATAGAATCAAACTCAAAATCACCTGAAAAAGGTTTGAAGGCACATAAAACCGACCACAGCATTTGAAGAGATGTGTGATTGTAACTTCAGAAGATGAACCCATCGTATTGATCTGTATTGAAGGCCACATGGACGAGCCTATCAGCACTGTTTGTTTTTTTCAGATTAAAAGAGACTTTCAGTTCTTTCTCAGCTCGTCAGCTTTATGACGCTCATTTAGTAAATGATGGTCCGTGCTTTAGGGCGGGGCTACACGCTGATCGGTTAAAGTTTGTCATCTCTGATGGCCCGAGTAACTTACCCCTTGATTGACAGCTCGACTGAACTCCTCCGCTAGCTCTCCGATCAGGACGACGTTAATCGATGCGCTTTGGGATGAGTCTTCTTCTGCAAGAGAGAAAGATGCAAACAATCATGGAATAACATCGATGCCGTGTTTTCTTTGTCTTATGGGACAGAATATCTTTGGCTTCAGTAGGATTGTCAGCTGGGCAGCCTAGGAGAACGAGCCATCAGCCAAATGATGGAAATCTATTGTGTCAGGTTTACAAAAAAGCAGGAACAGAAATAGTAATAGTCAGTAACTACTGACTCTACAATTCTGACATGCAGACAAACTGCATGTATTGTGTCCCCTCAATGGTTGTCTTTGGTGTATAGGTTCATGTTTATATGTATGTACACTTTTAGATATATATTCATATTATACGGTTGTTAAATGTTTACACTTGTTTATTGAGACCAAAGTGGAAGTTAGATTAGATTAGATTCAACTTTATTGTCATTGCACAGGGTACAAGTACTGAGGCAACGAAATGCAGTTTAACATCCAACCAGAAGTGCAAAATAGCAAAAAGTGCAGAGTATGTGCATAAGGCAGAAAACTACTATTTTGCAGATTCTGGAGAGACGCTGAGCCTCGCGTTGTTCACGCGCCGCCATCTTGGTTTTTCATGGCCAATAAAGACGATTCTGATTGGCCGCAGCAACAAAACAAGTCTACTAGCGAATGAGATCATGAACTCATGTTTACAATGTTTACTGAGGGAATAAATCCAGAGAGAAGTGGTCATTTTCTCATAGACTTCCAAAGAACCAGAGGTCGCCCCCTGATTACTGAGTAATCCAGGACTATTTTACACCTCATGTCACACGGGATGAACCTCTGGTCGTGGAGTTGGCCTTTCGCTCAATGAAGTAACGTATAATTTGTTTTTAGAAGTATGCGGCCGTGTTCCCTCCGATGCACAAATACCAGAGGACGCGTTTCAGGGACAATCGGACAGCTGATGGCTGAGCCGACGCTGCGGCGGTACCTTGAATTACAGCCTTTAGAATAAAGCTGTGAGACGCTAACGACACCAGCGGGCCTTTACGAACCACTTTCCCCTGTAGAGACAAAAAGATGAAAAGAGACAGAGGGGTAAACATTTAAAGAGACAAAACTGGAAAAAGCCTTTTCGGTTCGGGAAGAATCTGAGCTCTCGTCAGCTGATCAAAGCCACGTCGACATGGCGAGCGCCTCGGGGACATGAGCCGCGAGACAGAAGGGGGATTATGCCGCCGCTTTGGTTCCTCATTTATAGATATTCCAGAGAAAGAGAATGTCAGACGAGCGAAGAGGTTGTGGAAGGTGACAGATAGATGAAAAGGGAATACTGAAGAAGATTAAAAGAAGAAGAAACACAAACTCTTTATTTCTCGTGGCAGTGACGGCGGCGGCACGGCTCCCAGCTTGCTGTCTCAGCTGCAGAAGTTTAGCTCATGAGTAGCAGAGAGGAACATGGGGGGTCGCTGTCAACAAACCTTGACGGTTTTGTCGGAGCAGTCGGTGTCGGTGCCGATGAGCGAGACGGGAACACTGGTCAGGTGTGCGGGTACCTTGTCGCCTGGCCCCGCCCCCTGCAACATGACTCGCCGAGGCATGGCGTCCCCTGAGGGACAGGAAGGGGACAAATGACATATCCTGACCAACAGACTGCGTGAGGGTTCAGGCCCTGGTTTGGCTCCAGGATTCAACATGTGAACTTGGTCGTTTTTTAGGATTCAGCCTCCTCGGTAGGGGGATGAACCCACTGACAGGAACCCCCACCCGCCACCCCGATCTGTGTCGACAGCGCGGCGGGAAGGTTAAAGCACCGCTTTTTTGCAGAGAGAGAGGAACCCCGGAAAAGTGCTGGCCGCGTTCCCAGCAGGTAGCGCATGGCTTCCTGTCGCGGCTCGTTAGTTTGATCCCCGGGCGACTCCCCCCGCGGGTCTCTGCGTGGCGATCCCGCCGACCAGGCGGAGCGCAGGAACAGCCCGCGAGGGACGACGAGCTGTTTGCTCGGCCGAGCAGTCAGCCGCTCCGTCGGGCGGAAAACACGACCAGAGAAAAAAAATATCAAATCCAATAAACCTCTCAGATTTAGACCGCGGGGGAGGGGGTTACACCACGGTGACTGATTAAATCAGGAGTTCAGTCCGTGAGGAGGTTCCACCGACTTCTGCCGTGACCTCACAGACTCGCCGCCAGCTGCAGCTCAGACTTCAGACAGCCTGCTTCGGACTTATGCAAGCGTTTGATAGAAGATGGTTAAGTGCGAAGATTCTTGTTCTTCTGTCAATATAAAAAGGTTTTGAGGAATGGATGCAGATTTCGGAAGCACGCACGTTTGAGGGCCGCACAGGAAGTGTTCGGATTCAGGATTGGTCTCAGAACGCCGTTCGACATCAAATTCTTTGAGCGAACAATCACCCGTTTGCATCTATCAAAATCCTGTTTGATTTTTGTTTGAAAGCCGCAGCAGCTGAAAGGTTTCAGCACCCTGAGGTCAAAACGAAGTACGACCGAAGGCTTAAAAACGATTTATCAGGTGACCAAAACGATTGGAAAACGCACTTACTGAAGTGAAGACTAGAGATTAAGACCATAAAAGACACTACCACTACAATCAGTGTTTTAAAAATAAAGAAAGGGACTGCTGTCGTACGGTCGGGACAACAGGCGGTCGTAGAGAGGACCCTTCAGAGAACCGTTGTCCCACCTCCACACTCCACATGACTCTCTGCCGAGAGACAAAAGAACGGTCCCATCTCTGACTCTTCCCGAGCACGCTCATGAAATATGAACGGAGGTGAACTTTCTGCACCGGCCGCCACCTGAAGCCTCATTTGCTGCGACATAAAAACCTGCAGCTGCTGCGGGGGCTCACGCTCCAGCGGCTTCAACCAATTGAATTAATAAAAATAAATAAAGGCCACGCGGCTCGCCAGGTGATTTCGGGGGCTCTTTATTTTTGTTATCAGGTTTGAGCAGCTTGAGAGCGCAGAGCAGTGGGAGGGTGTCGAGGGAGAGCCGCTGCGCAGCGATCACAGAAGCCCGTCTATTAAAATCCATTACACAACAGACACATCCGCAGGAAAATAAATACAAACGGGACGTTTTCCCTCTTTTTCTGTTTTGGTTGCTGCCTCAACCTGCAGCTCTTCACTCCCCACAAACACAGCAGGGACTTGAACCCACAACCCCGGACAGAGTCCTGAAGCTACCTGGAATGTGGAGCAGCATGTTTTGTTAAAACCAAAGAATACAGTTTTCCCTTTTGGTGTCTTTTCATCTGCCTCCTCATCTAAACACGTTGAGGAGACCCGGAGGGGGGACAATGTTCTTCTCCGTCTGTGCAGCGCGGAGATAACACAAATCAGCCGTCTCATCCTATTACTACCCCCCCCCCCCCACCCCCCCTCCGGGTAGAAACCACAGATGTAAGTAGCAGATAGACCGGAGGAGTCTCCTCTGCAGCAGTAATCCTCCCAGAGGGCAGTGAGAGATGAACGTCACACTGTGGAGAGGACAACAGTCAGACATGTGCGTCAGCGACCCTGTGACCCTGTGACCCCGTGACCCCGAGACACCGGGTTAGGGAAAATATCGCGCGGGTGAATAAAACGACGGACAGCGGTCATCATGTGTCAATCCCCGGGACGATGTGAAAGCAATAGTAAACGTTAGTGTTGATCAATTGAAACGTATTTTGAATTGCTGCTGAAGAAGGAATAGTTTACACACAAAAACCTTCAGGCGACATCGATTTTTTCCTTAATGAGTCCCTTTTTTTCACATATAAACAAACGACAATAGTATTGATCAGAGTACCTGGAGAGTTGTCTCGGTAGAACTTGACCCGATTGGTCGATGCCTCTATTCAACATTAACGATCTGCGTGAAAGTGTTCAGAAGAATATAAAGCGGCGTGTGAATTGATCACATGGGGAAAAAGTAAAGCCGTTAATTTACCTTTACACATCCATTCTGAATAACGTGCAGCTCCACTGCTCTACTTCTACAACTCGCTCCAACGCAGTTGATTTTCAGTGATAATTGAACTTGAAGGACGTCCACGTCGGCCCGAACTGGACCTCCATCTTCTCACAGAAATGACTAGCAGAGTTTTATCCGATTCCGGGGAAGCAAATCATAAAACAACTGATGTAATCAAAGGCAAATAAATGGCTGTTTTGTATCATTGTCCCTGTCTTCCTTTCTTTAGCTTTCTTACCATCTCCGGACTTGTGTATATTACTTAATGTAGCTGTAATATATCGTTTATAAACAGAATTTATATACACGCTAACATTCGGCTGGAAGTCACCTGTTAACACGTCACGCGTTCAACTGAAACACCTGTTGCTCTGAAACGGTTGCGTCTGAATTGTGCAGAACGCGAGTCCCAGTCCCCTTTTCTCCCAGTCAGGCAGTAGAGACACATATTAGATCCTTCAGGATGTTTCATATAGTGACACTTACCAAGTCATAAACTCTATATAACGGTTCCTACAGCACAACATAAAAGAGGCATATCGAGTACAAAACAGCTCAACAGGAAATCCTCATCTCCTAATCCTCCTCAGCTCTTCATCTCCTAATTTCTCATCTCCTCATCCTCATCTCCTCAGTCCATCAAGGACTCGTTCGTGTTGAGCTGCTGCAGCTGCTTCACAGAACAAAGCTGGTTTCTGTCGTTTGCTCCAAAACAAAAGATCCCGACTCGTCATGCGATTTTCCACGCAGTCCACACACTCCAGGATCCGGAACAACGAGAATATGAAGACGTTTTAAAGGGGCCCATTGCGGCTGAGCCACGCAGTTTAACGTTACGATAAAAACAGTCAACCACAGGGAGGTTAACCAGCTGGTAGAAGTCTGCTAGAATGCAGAAAGAATGCATGAAATGACTACAAACCACAGCATGAGCAACGCATGCTACATACTGTTAGCAATGTGCATCCCAACTGGTTTGCCTCCAGTGTATGTGCCAGAACCACTACACTGTTAGTACCAGTTCACTTCGTGATGCTAAGCTAATGCTACCGTGTCGAAGTGACCACACACCGTGGTACTGTTAACGTTGCTCCCACTGCAGCAAACTAACGTTAGCCGTTAGCTGGTTAGCATGCTAGCCAGCTTCAGTTAACTGCACCGCGGAGTGCAGTGATCCGAAATCGGTTCTCCGTAGTGATACACGGGATATACAGTATAATAACGATCCGGTTGTTTTATTCAATAGCTCGCACGGGTGAATTCGGCTGGCAAAGACAACGTGTGTGCAGGACGTTATTGTACAAAGTTTCAACTTTCCCTCGGAACTCAAGTAGCGCTATTTAGGGTCAAGGACTGAGTGAAGCGACACAACAAAACAAACGACAAAACAAACGCAATGTATTCAGACACGAACGTGTGTACGTTGTTAGCCGAATACCAGAGGGGAATGTAGATATTTGTAAAATGTATAAAACGATACTCGCGAAAAAATTCCTGCCACAATAAGCACAGCAACCCAAAACACCAGAGATTTTAGAGCGGGTCTGGCCTGACATTCTCTAAAGACAGCGGAGGTTCTAAACACACTTCTATAAACTGACAACCAACATTAATCAAAATATATTTAATGAAAAAAATATCGTAGGTAGTTATTATGTGTTTGTAAACACGACATTAGATGCTGGAGATGAGCGAGAAAAACTTACGGTTTGTTTTCCCTCGCTTGGTTTCGAATTGACAGGGTGATGTAATGCGCATGCGCGCGACAAACCGGATACTTCTGTTTATATGAACCCTCAATGATATATATTAATAATAATAATAATAATAATAATGATGACTTGCACTGATTGGAGTCAGCCTGGGTTGCTTTTGAATGAAATTAATATTAAATTAAGAGAAAAAGAGAAACAATATTGTTAATGACACATCCGGTGGTCATCATCATCCATGTGAAGCCATCCTTTGATGAGCAATACATCTCTGTGGAAACAGGCCCAATCAGAATCATGGCGCAAAAACACCAACTTCCATCTCAGCAAACTGCTGCTTCGCTCCGAGCTGTCATATCCATGTTGCGTTGTATAGATGGAAACCTCAGAAGCTTTTACAAACGGATTACTGACTGTTTAATTAAATTGAATAATGCCAAACACTCACCGAGCCAGTGACGGAGAGGCATAATTCTGCTGCAGTATTAGCAGGAGGCTCATTACTCAGAGCTAATGACTTTCTCCTGGGGAGACACACGAGCAGGCCTGAGCTTCTGTTCATTGCTTTATGTTTCTAATCAGCTGAAGAACATCGGCTATCGTTCATATTGTGCTATTTGGCCCTGTTGCAGCCTGAGGAGGAGGAGGACGAAGAGGAGGTCATGAGCTGGTGCTGATATAAACTTTGTGATGGACAAAAAGTCACAAGAAGAGTCCACAGAACAAATCCTCACCGGCTCCACCTGAAGCTGCTTTTCATTTGTTTGATTGAACAAGGAAAAAAACTCCAAATCCAATTTATTTTAGTGAAGGCGATGCATAAGTGTCTTCAAACGTTTATTCTCTCTGCTGACTTACAGTGTGGATTTATTACCTCAGTAACCTAATCCTATCTAGTCTATTCTATCTTTAATCTAATTATCTATTCAAATATTGAGTATAATATAATCTACTCTAGTCTAATCAAATTTATTCTGTTTAAAATAACTGAATTGAATTCAATGTGGACCTGTGCTGCAGGAGACGTAGTGCCCAGTGGACCTGTGATACACTGTGTGTATCCTGTGCTCCAAGAAACGCACACAGTGATGGATCATTTCTTTGGGTTCGGCCTGCTGAGAGATCCTCTCTGACCTTCACTCCTCGCTGTGATCCCGCTGCTTCACATTATCGTTGATCCACCGTCCCTCTTTGTCTCTTATCGGCATGAGGCACTCAACGCCGTAAAAAAATGATATTTTCAATTACACTGTTAACTCATTTATTAATTCTGCTATCCATCATCTGCAGATCCTCCACATATTTGTAAATCAGTCAGGGAATACTCGGTGTAATCAGGAGGAAAACTCTGGTTCTTTGAGAGAAGTCAAAGCTGCATTCTCTGTAGTGACCAGCGACTCCTTTCTTCCCATGGAAGTCTATGAGAAAATTACTTCTCTCTTGATTTATTCCCTCAGCAAACACTGTAAACGTGACCTCAATCTCGGATTCTATGCGTCACCCCCCCCTCCGTTGAAATATTGTCACTTCCATTTGAATGTTTACAAAAACAAAGAAGGTGAAGGCCAAACCTCTGAACCCAAATCTTCATGACATCAGTCCACACACCAACAGGTGCTGTCCCAGCGACTACATCCACTTCTTATATTCAGTCCATCGCTGTATATGAAGATTATGGTTTTTAGAGAGTGAAGAAATCTCCACCTTCCCCTTTGTATCCAGCATATAGTGTACTGCTCTTTGATGCTATCAAACAGGCTCTGAGCTCAGCAGAGTATCCCGAGGCAAGAAAGGCTTACAACTCGTTGGTGACCGCTGGCGCTCCCGGCTGCTGCTCCCGGCTGCTACTCCCCGTGGTTTCCACAGGAGGTGCTGATATAACGAGTCGGAGGAGTTGGATTATTACATAGCCGGCTCAGGGGTGTGTCTGTGAGTGCGCGACGGTATGTCCGGGTCTCATGACAGACGGAGGCGGTTGGTTGAATGTCTCTGAGTCTCCAGGGTGTTGGACGATTGGACGCCGCAGGCTTTGCTTGTGTTTTGTTCACTTCCTTTCATACATTGATGCAATGCAAAGCACCGCATCCCCCTCCCTGCATCACAGCATTTAAGGGAACGTTGGGATTAAGTTGGCTGGGCCGTACCTTTAGAGGCCGTACCTTTATGGGCCCTACCTTTATGGGCCATACCTTTACAGGCCGTACCTTTACGGGCCGTACCTTAATGGGCCCTACCTTTACAGGCCGTACCTTTATGGGCCCTACCTTTACAGGCCGTACCTTTATGGGCCGTACCTTTATGGGCCCTACCTTTACAGGCCGTACCTTTATGGGCCGTACCTTTAGAGGCCGTACCTTTACAGGCCGTACCTTTATGGGCCGTACCTTTAGAGGCCGTACCTTTACGGGCCGTACCTTAATGGGCCCTACCATTACAGGCCGTACCTTTAGAGGCCGTACCTTTATGGGCCGTACCTTTACAGGCCGTACTTTTAGAGGCCGTACCTTTAGAGGCCGTACCTTTATGGGCCCTACCTTTACAGGCCGTACTTTTAGAGGCCGTACCTTTATGGGCCCTACCTTTACAGGCCGTACTTTTAGAGGCCGTACCTTTAGAGGCCGTACCTTTATGGGCCGTACCTTTACAGGCCGTACCTTTAGAGGCCATACCGTGCCTTCAGAGGCGCTACCTTTTTCTTTACAGGCCAAATACAGGTTTCACAAACCTTGCAGAAATAAAGAAAAAATAAGGGAAAGAAGAAGAAGATATCTTTATCTCTCTGAACCAGTGCAAAATAGAACAGAAATTACAATTGTAATTGTGCAATTGCACTTTTAACAATCCAAAACCAAAGATACTCGGCTAACTATGAAAGAAGACAACAAAAAGCACGAGCAAAAAATGTAACCACAAATATTTGTTTCATATAAAATGAACACTCAAGAATAAAGAGTAAAGACATGTGCAAAGTCTTTTCCTTTTTGTTGCTGTGTTTCTGAACACAGTAACTTTGAAGTTATTGCCGTCTTAGCTCAGTGTCACCACGAGTGACTTCCTGTATATTAATCACAGCGGGCGTAACCTGAACTCTTAAATCCCGTCGCAGCACGTGCGGTTATTGTTGTTTGGCCTCGCCGATGCAGATGGCGTCCTGAATCTGTCGGTGCGGATGAAACCCGGGGCCTTTAGCTCGGCTGTTACTCATCAGTCGCCTCCCGCTGTCATCCAGCATGTCGTCTTCAGACGTCGCTTTGCGCTGAGTCGGAGCGGCTGACCCGCATCGTGTTGTCTGCGCGCGTAGCAAATCAAAAGCACCACCTTTGAAGATACCTTTGTTTCACATGCAGCGGCAGCGGCCCGGCAGAATAAAGCTCTCACCCTTCATCTGATCTGCTTTGTAACCCCTGACAACCGTCAGCGGCTGCAACAGATCACTGAACCTTCGATGGAGGGAATTACCCACAACCGTTGACG